GTTAGGACAGAAAATGTTCACCAATGCAATACCAAGAGGAAAAAAAATCAAATGTTTTTGCCTTGCACTGCTCCAAGCTGTCCAGTACAGAGATTTAGTCTGCTCCTCAACATAGGCCTTGTGTGAGCTGTGGAGAGCAAGTCCACCTAATGGATTTTGCCATGTCCTACCAAGTGGGTGCATTGCCCTAAATGCATAGCTGGGTTACACTTACGGGTCTGGAAGCCTCCACTAAATTTGGAAGTGCTGTTCAGATTACATCCTCCAGCTGCTGAAGAGATTTTCTTACAAACAGTTGGCTACTCAAATACCTTGTGCCTCCCTAGGCACTGCCTCTGTCTCAGCTTTCAAGTCCAGCCAGCCCTACCTCAGTCATTGCTGTGTTTGATTCATACCATCTATATCTCGTAGCGCTCCTAGCAATTGATAAATTATGACTCCAGTGAGACTATTGGGTTAAATGCTAAGGAAGGAAGAATGATGACAGTAATACTTGTCATTTGTGTGGCAATGTAGCAACACAAAACCTCTCTCAAACATACATTATCTTGGAGGAACCTTTCCAGGGGATAGGCTTTCTGAGAAATGTTTATGGCTTTTGAATACATGATAGGCATGAACTTGACATGACCTACTTGGCCAAGCCCTGAGCTTCAGCCTGGTCTTTTACCACCACAAATCAGTCTATTGGAAGTATAGCCAGACTGATATCTTCACTGGGATGGCAAGGTTATAGCACATAGCAGCTTGAGAAAACACAGGAAGGAGGCTACTTTGTTCTCGGGTTTTAAAGACTTGGAAATACTTTTACTAATGTCATAAGAAAACCAGTAAGTTCTACCTATACAGAAAAGCCAACATAGGCCCTGGGATGATTAAAATATTTGGCACTTGATTGAAACGAGCTCATTAACATCCTTATAGTATATGCACATCCCTTCTTTATCTTGGCATTGGAAAATGCAAGTTAAAGCAGAGGTTGTAAAGGCTTTCTATTAAATATCCTAGACACAAGAGTTCTATTTCCTCCTGACTTACCACAGCATTGTGCTGCAGGATTTTCTGCTGCTTCATCTCGGCCTTCATACCATCCTCTCAACTTACTCTTGTATCAAGGTAATGTTAAATTGTAAAATTACACTGACTTTTCATTTTGTTGTTTAATTAAATATAGTGAAATTGGATAAAAGGTGGCATATGTTTCCAAGGACTGAGACACCTGTAAAGGAACCTTAAGTCTCTAAAGGCCCTCTCCCCAGCATGGCACTGAATAGCACCAATTCTGTTACAGATAAAGCTGTAGTCACTGAATTAACTGAAACCCAGCCAAAGCATCCATAGTGTATGCAGTCCATAGGGGTATTCCCTACTGGGCAGACAGGAATCCTAGTCAGAAGGAGGTGTTATCTGGGACCTCTCACAGGACCACTTTCCTTTCCTTCCTTGGATAGTCAATATAATAAGGAACCATTGACCTAGTGGCTCTCATCACCCAACTGCAGCAAAGCCACTAACACACATCAGTCCAGGGAGGTGGCTACAGGGGCAGGCAGGGATGGCAGCATGAACAGCCTGTGTCATACGCTGGGTCACTCTGCGTCATCAGAATGACCTGCTTGCAATAGGCCTCTGATTGCAACCCTCCTGCTAGTTGTAATTAAGGAAATTCTGTTGCATAGTACAGATACAATTACAGTTGCAGTACCTGCTAATTCAAAATTAATAAAATATAATGGCAAAATTTCTCCTATGTAATTGAATAATTACCATAATACAACTCCAGTAGAGCAAAGATCAGGGATGTTTCATGTCATCATCATTCAGCATCATCATCCAGAAACCAGCATTTTAAAACCGTATTGCTTGTTCATACAACACACATCTTAGAAACAGATCCATTACAAAAAGTCAGTATAGAGGAAGTGAGTTGAGAATCATTAAAAACATATTTTTTAGATGAACGGCCATCACATTATTACAAATAATCATTTTCCTTTCACACTAGTTTTTTTTTAGCCTTATAAAACATTACATGTCCATGTTCCTTATAAAACATTACATATTACATAGAATTGTTTTTCTTAATCATGTGCATTTCAGTAATGACACTTGCATGTATAAATTTAGCGAGTTAAGATGTTAGACTGATGCCAGAACTGAGTAGTCATTTATTCAGAAAAAAAATTGTCTTGTTTTTCTCTCTGTAAATTTTCTGTGGAAAGCTATTCTTTTTTTCAGGGCATTCAATATTCACCGTATTAGTTGGATAGTCCTACTGAGGCTTCTCTGATTTTGAATCATTCACAGCCTGTTAGTTACAGTTATTTCACATTTGAAATTTGAACTCTAGTCCTTTCTTTTTATTGGATATAGAGTTTACACAAACTGATGCTGTTCTCCAGTTAAAAAAAATGTGACTGGAATGAAAATGAGCTAAGTTTTGTACACACCAGCAGCAGTTCACATCTGTGTTTGAACAGGAGTAAATTCCTTACCTATAATACAATGTTCATGTATTACGAGCAAAAGCTGAAAGTCATCTTAGGATAATTCTGAGGAAGCAGTCCCATCTTATAAAGGCTGTTATTCCACAGCTTTAAATATCCATGTAGCACACAGTACCTCCTTTTGCCCAGCCTATGCAGTTATGTTTCCTTTTAGAGACAATTCTAACAAAACAGTCTTTGAAGGAGCCCTTTTCCTTAGGTGCACTGTATGTCACAGGTATCTGCCCAGCTCCTGTGAGGCTTAGGAAAGCAAGGCTGACAGCAGCCTTCAGTCCTCTAAGGTAATAGGAAAATCAAAGTATTTATAAAGTGGAGAGGGCAAGAGAAAAGGATAACAGGCAGTATTGAATAAGAAAAAAACAAAACAGTTTAAAGCAACTTTACAGGGAGTGAGGAGTGCCCTGGAGTGGCCATTAGACACACTGCAAGGAATTAGGCACATCAAAAAAGGGGAACATTTGCTGCAGATATTATGAGGTGGGAAGGATTGGAGGAGGTTGTTATTCTTGAAAATACTTAATGAACTGGCAGATGGCCCTGTGATCAGGGCACAGGAAGTCCAAATCCCATTTCTGCTGCAGATCTCCTGTGTGGGATCAGAGAACTGTCCAAGATCACCAGCAGGAGCCAGGCAGAGCTGGCACAGGGGACACTGGGGTGGCCAGTGTCAAAGCAGCGATCAAAATCAATGGGAAATGCCTGTTCCAATAGGGAATTCCTCTATGCCTCTTCTTGCATAAAGCCATCCAAAATGGGCAAGAACATCTGCTTTTGTTTTCCCAGTAAAAGCTGACACTGGAGGAGATACGCACATTTGGGAGGGGAGCACATTCCACAGTGCAGCTCTTTGTAATGCTCTTGTAACAATACAAGACTGTTCTGGGAACATCACTTGGTGAAAGCTTACTGTATCCAAAAGGCCAGAACTGCCATGAAGGTGGCAGGAGAAGACGTACTGAAGTGACAGAGGGCTCCTCTTGGCAACTGGGTGGCAAGGCAGATCGCGCCACATGCATGGCCGAAGGGTGACTTGTAGGGACCATTCTGTGGCCTGACACTTCCTTCCTTTTCTGTGGATATTTCAGGGAATTAGTTGCTCCATTTGCCCTTCAGGAAGACACTGCATTAATATGAAGGTGCAATGAGCTCCCACAGCAGGCTAGCCTTCAGATCCTCTTGCTCAGTCTTTGTGCATGCAAAATAAAATTACACCAAAATGTGAACTTAGGGCTAGAGAAAATACCAGGGTAGGAAACTAGGAGAACATTTCACCACAGTTAGTGTTTGAAAAGAAATGGTCAATGAAGGTGCTTGAACTTAAATGCAACCTAGTTGTTAACAATAGAGATGTTCAGCAGAAAGATGCAAGATCTCAGGTTTGCTGTCCTGAACTGTTCTACCCCAAACCACCCTTCAAATCATTTATGTAGAAGACATGCTTCAGGCAGTGCCAGAGCAAGACTTTGACTCACTGACTACAACTTTACCCATGTCCTAGACAGGTGCTTCTGTTTTAAGGCTCATGAGTTGACAGACTTCCTATCTCTGTAATGCAGATGTTTGGGTCATTTTTAGAACATACAAGAAAAGAAGTATAGTATTTTCTTAGAACAGAACTCTGGGAAAAATGTAATTTCTGCTACTCTCTCAAAAAATCCTTTCAACAGTTCAAATCTACAGCTAACACTGTAGAGGAACTGCTATTTCAAAAGAAATGTACCATATGGAAACAGAGTAATTCCAAAGACAAAGTGATGCCTAAAAAAAGTGTTTCTCCTTGTAACTGAAGTACTTGCTTCAAGACTAGAAATGGGATAGTTCTTGGAGGGAACAGAGAGGAGTGGAATGCAAATTAAAACAACTTAGTGAAAAAAATTAGTCAGTGTTCGTATAACTGCTCAGCTGGAATCACTGTAACTCATGCAGATTTTTCTAACATGAACATTTCTCATGAGGGCAAGCAGTATGGCCAGTTTGGCAACCAGTAAATACCACTGGAAAAAACCAAACTGCTCCTTACAGAGTTTTCCCCATTGAAGTTAACAATGAATAGCTGACCAGTGAATAAGATTTTGCATTACTGATTCTACTCAGTTCAGATCAGTTTGTTGAGCAAATTAGAAAACAAATCAGATTACAAATATATAAGGAAGCCCTAGTTACCTGGTTAAAGGAAAACCTCAGCATACCATGTTAATTCTTTGTTTCTACACTCTTTGATATATTTACACAAGACATTTTCCATAGTATTACCTTTCTTCCAAGTGAAAGCAGAAGCCTCGTGCTGGCATATCAAGGGCTGGGCTTTTTCACTGTGCTATTTATAGGATTTAGAATTCCACACAGTAGTAGAAACTTCTCCATTTCCTACGAAGAAAATAATCTTTAAAAATATAATGAAGTTTTAATCAACTTTTTGAGAAGGTGAGAGGAAGAAAGGAGCCTGTCAGAAATATCTCTGGCTGGTGGTGAATGTCTTCTGTCCCCTTTCAGGATGGCCTGGGACTCCTTGTGCAGCCGCGACTTACGGCGGCCTAGGATAAGAAGTGCCTCAAGCTGGATGCCCGACAGTGGGAGCAGCACTGGGACACCATCCCTGGAGGAGCTGCGGCGCCTGCTCTGCACACGCACACACCCCACGGGGCATGTGGATGAAGTCTGGCCAAACCTTTATGTGGGAGACCTGTAAGAGACAGGAAGGGCTGAAGGTTATTGCAACTCTTCCCCCAAATCTTCCACTCTTTATTTAAAAACAGAGAGCTAGGCAATAATCTGGGGACCTCTCACAACGGTCTAAGTGTTGAACAAGATTGAACTGTGCACAGGATGCTGTAGCATAGAGAAATGTATCTTGACTAAAAAGAATATCTGCCGCATTCTGGTTTCTCCTCCTGCATTAGTGCAGGAGTGACACACTGCAACAGCCCACTGGAGCTGTGACATTGGTACTTCAGGCAGTCATGCCAAAGCTGGGTAAAAGAGGATCAAGCTCATTTTCTCCTCACTTTGCCAGATGGCATCAGCCCTCTGAACGGATAAATACTCAGCAGAGGTGACTTGGTGAGGAAGTCCTTGAAATCAGAAAACCCCTAGCTTGTGCAGAAATATCTCCACCACCACCTTTCATGAGGTGAGAACCGTCTAAACGTATGTTTGGGAAAAAATGGAGGGAAATCTAAGAGTTAGTTTCTTAACAAGTCACTTCTGTCTCAAAGCATTCTGATGAATACTTTGAACCTGATCAACCTGTCAAAAAAAATAGCCACTACCACTTCTGCAGTTGTAACAAACTCACCATCAGCAGCATGTTCTTCCCTGCGTTGCAGTGCAGCAGGCAAGTATAATTCCCCGTCTTTGTTCCAGGTACGTCGCTCGCGACAAGGCCCAGCTGAGCCGCATGGGCATCTCCCACATTGTGAATGCCGCTGCCGGGAGATTTCGCATCAACACTGGGCCCAAGTTCTACAGTGACTTGCCTGTGGATTACTATGGAGTAGAAGCAGAGGACAACCCAAACTTTGATCTCAGCATTCACTTCTATCCAGTTGCTCAGTACATCAGAGAAGCACTGAATTCCCCAAGAGGTAACTAGACCATCTGTGCATGTTGCTTATTTTCTGCATAGTAGACAAGCAGGGAAAGTTATTAAATATTATTTGACATAGACCAACCCACCTGCATGTGGGTAAGAATGCATATACTCAAAAAAAGTAGCATCCTACCTGCCTCCTGAACTCCTAGTGGTAGTTCTCGTGTTTCCCTGAAATAGGGAAAGATGCACTGAACAGGCTTTTAAAGGGGTTCTCCCTATGCCTAGTGTTATTCATCACCAAAAGACAAAATAGCAAGTGTCCTTCATTACCTACAGGGACATACTGACCTAGGAAGAGGAACATTATTTGATCTTTTCAAATTAGTGATGGGATTTAAAATAAAAGACAAGGACAAGTGTCATATTTGAATAAGAAGATTCAACTATAATGCTACAAATCTGTGCAAGTCCTACAAACACAGAAGAGGGAAGAACTTGCTAGAAAGCAATTCTATAGAAGGAAGATCAAGCAACATCACCAGTCTGGAATAATGTTGTGTTGTTGCTAGAAAAAAGTATAATTTTTAAATAGGAAGACAACCCACAAAATCCTCAGATTCACTTAATGCATGCCAGGTGCAACACCAGAGGCTTGGGGCCAATGGGAGATCATTACTAAGGGCAAGCCTTCACAAAAGCAAGTCATGACTGTGCCACAAAACTGTACAGAACTACTCAAAAGTAAGTGATTAATAAGAGAACAATTGTATACTCAGCAAACCATTTTGCTTGCATCATGGTGAGCTTTAATTGCAATCAGGGCCCTAAAGTACTAACTACCCAGCTTAATCGTATGCATTGGTAGATCTGATCCACACCCTACGAGCCAGAAAGGGGAGGCACAGTAACTGCAAACAGTGTACCTTCGTGTTAGGTACCTGTGTGTTTCCTGCTCTTTGGAGGGCTTTTTCTGTTCTGTTAGAAAATATTTGCCCTTGTGCAACTTAGGGCTGCATTTGGGGAATTTGGATTTTCACCCATTTTTATTACAGCATACGCTATTTGCAATTGAAGTCATTGTTGGCAGTGCTCCAGAGAAAGGTAAGATCCAAAATCTGTGTGTGTAAAAGCAAAGTTCCAAATCAATTGACAAAAGACAGAAAACAGCAGATGAATTGTAGAAGCCACAATAGCAAAGAAAACTAGTGCTTTGCAAAATGCATGCCGAAATACTAAGCTATGAATGCAGAACAAGTTACAGCTCAAGGCATATTTATCCCTGCTCCCATGCTTTTAGCACTGCTTTACTGAACTCCATATGGAAGTAGAGTTCTGGGAATGGAGACAAGGTGAAATTTAATCATACACTGTCCAGCTGTTGCTGACATTCATCATTTTGAGGAAAGCGCAACAGTTTAAAAAATATATAAACAAGATGTTCTGGAAGCATAATTTCCTGAGGTACAGAAATTTAGCAGCTAAATACCCATGACCTGTGCAGGGATGAGACAGGGAGGGGATTGTTACTCACATCATTTAGAAGAAGAAAAAAAAAGTAGTGTTTATTATAAGCAGTGAAATTGAATAACAAAAAAAATATACCAGGTGACAAGAGTCCTGTCCATATTAAATACAGGATGTAACAAGGTACTACTGCTTGGTTGAGAAGTCATTTAAGACTGCTGCTTAACTGTTACAAGCAAATTCAACATCAGTTTTTTTCTTTAATAGAAATATATTATCCTTTTTACCCAACAGGACACGTCAAAGTTAAGACTGTATGAGGCACAAACATATTTAAAACTAAGAATCAAGTACTCATTAGAATTAGATAAGAACTGTTATTTCCATCATGCTTGAAAAAGAAATCTGATTCTTTATACCACAAGTCCAGAAAACAGCATAGACAGATTTATTCCAGATTTCTACCTTAGGTGAACAGAATATTATCTTTGGTGATGTAAAGAGTTTGTTTTTAAGGCAGTTTCTTAAAACTCAGGTGCCAGAGTGTGAGCAAAAGGAAGAGACTTGCTCCTACTTGGGAGCTGTTCCTCTCACAGTGGTCATGGCTGCATCACACCCTGACTTCCTTCATAGTCTTTGTTGCAGAAATTAGACAGTACATGCACTTCTATTGCAGCCATACCACATCAGCATTGTTTTGTGATCCCTGCTTCCTTGGCTGCCTTTCCTTCAGCACAGCCTGGCAGTTTCTTTGCCCATGTAACAGAGCTGTTTGGGAAGGCTCAGACAAGAGAGAACAGATGCACAATCTGTCCCCTTTCCTGCAAGGAAAAACATGGGAGTTGGGAAAGTACTAGCCTTCTCCCTCATGCTCAAGCTCAAAGGACAACACCTTGAATATCAATCTTGACCCTTTTCATGGCCACCTGTGCAATTTGCATTTCTCTGGAGTGCAGCTAAACCTAAAGTAAATCAGCAGGGTTTCGTGAAGTCTAACAGAAGGAGGAGGGAAAGAGAACTGGATGAAAGCATGTCATGAAAACTATTAAACTAAGACTGTGCTGAGAGAAAGATTCCCAAGTAGAGAGCTTTGCCTTTTATTGACCTCTGAACATGTTTAAAACAGGCAGGTTAAAACCACCCATAAAAAGCTTGAAATGGCAGACTCTCTCAAAGCCATTTCCCTTCCTCCACTTCAGTAGAGCAAATGAAAAGCTAGGCTACCTCTCCTGTCACCTTCTTGTTGGTGGGAGTTATGAAAGCTGCTTAACTTTGGAGAAAAGGGTCTTCTTCCTTGACTTCACTGTAGGTGCATTACATACATCAGTCTGACCTCCCATTCTGCAGCAGATGACAGTTCTTACCTGCTCTGACTTGCCGCTATTTAAAGCTCTCCGTAGGCTTCTTGCTATTTTCAGCTGTGACAAAACAGATACTGGATTAATCAGGAAATAGGCAGTGAATTCTGCACCTGGCTAAAACCTAACAGGAGATGAGAAAATAGTGGAACAAGCCCCTAGGGCCCATTAGCCCAGCTGAGCTCTCCTGCTGAGCAGAATACTTCAGCTGGATCCAATGGAGTGAGGGCAGCTGGGATGCTGACTATGGGTGACAGATCTGGAGCCTCATCTTAAGCCAAATTGAATCCATCCTGCAAGAAAGCAAGGGCTAGTTTAGGACATTTAGCTCATTTAATGATGATTAGCAAAAGGACAATAAGTTATTATGTGTTTTAATGACTGATCTTGTTCAACAACATTGAATTTCCTAACTTGAATTTGGTCAACAAAGTTGAATGTGCAAACTTTATCCCTAGTGCAAACCCTTTGATGTTAGTAGAGTTACAGCAGGCATGAGCTGGATAGAATATCCATAATCCGCTGTTAAAACCAAGTATTATTGTTCTGCACAAATCCCAGACAGATGATAGTTATTGTCTGCCTCTGCAAAAAGTAGCTTGAGATGTGTGGTGCAAAATTTCAAATAAGGATTGCAAGATTTAATAATGCCAGAAGCTAAGTGCCCCTACTTCTCCTCAGTTAATCCCATTATTCCTAAGGGATCCTGTTTCATGCTCAGAGAGAAGGTTGCAACACGGTCCCCTAATGTGGGACCAGTCCAGCTTCTTTTTGCACTGTATGTTAAATCAAATGGGGGTGGAGAAGACAGAGTTGGAAGATGACAGCTCATGGCACGGATTCTGTGGCGCAGGAGATGTGGTTATAACCTCCTTGCCTACCACACGACAGGGGAGCTCTGTGAACGCTGCTCTCTGTGGCCGTGCTCCAGCAGCCACCCAGGAATCCGAGCCTGAGTGCTGGGACATCTCAGCGTCCTGCCAGGGGCTATGGAATGGCTGGAATCGCACACCACAGTCAGCCCACAGAGCAGACGTGCTTCAGGCGCTGGTCACATGCAGGATGTCGCCAGGGGCTCAGAGTGTCACTTCACCCATTTGCAGCCACTGCTAAGAGACGAGGGTCTGACCCTGTAAACAGAACCAAATAGCAACACAGCTTTTGTTTCCTTACTCAAGTTTAACATTCAATTTGTTTGCTAAAAATAATCACATAGTAAATTCAAATCTGCTTTCATTAGAGCAATTTTACATTAATTAAATAATTTCACATGACTGATTTATCTGCAACAAACAAGTCATTTTATTGTCAGTGTACCAGCATTTAGCATAGCCCTTGTTTCACTATGCACAGAGATTAACAATGTTGGAATACATATTGCACTTGTAAAAGAGATGATATACCTACATCCTCATGGGAACAAGTGATTAGAGAACCATGCAGATTAGGACCAAGGTCAATACTTGGGGCTTGTCCAGATTTTTGCTGAGACACCTTCTAAAGCTCTTTGCTGATAGAAGAGGACTCTTCTGAAGTGCAGATACACCACAGAAAAAGGGAAGAAGTGTACTCTTTTTGGACACAGTCTTCTCTCAGACAGACACAAGACAATAGAGAGCCAACCTGTACAGGCAGGAGCCTGGCATTTGTTCTGCTTTCTGTGCCTCCAACAAAAACACAACAGGTAATATTAACTGCAGTGTTTATACCTGTGCTTAGTTTGGTATTCAGTTTAAGACTGCTAGTGGGGCAGAGCATTTTCAAAGGCAGAAGTCTTCATACAGGTGTGGGGGAAGGACTCAAACAATTTTACAAAAATTAGATTTAGAACATCAAGTCTCCTGTCTCCCATCCAGTTTATGCACAAATTTAGATTTAATTTCAAAATATATAGTGATGCAAAATCAAATCTAACACCAAAGCCAGTTCTTTGGTTTTTTCTTGTTTGTTTTTCTCCCTTATGATGCAGTTCAAACCATAAATTCTTATTCTTTTAGTTGGAGAGTGCTGGTAGCTCAAAAGTTTTCAGACAAAGACAAAAAAAAAGTGAAAAAGAGTGGTTCTGATTCCAAGAAAAAATTTCAGAACATTTTGTTTCTTGGCTTCTGTTATTTGGGGTGCACATTTTGGGTGAATGTCTGGATTTCCCATTCCTGCCAATACATTGCAGTTAGGCCTCCTGCAGAGTACTGAAGCAAAGATTTTTCAAAAATCTTTTGGCCTAGCCCTATTTGCAGTATTTTTCAAAGTGAAATTGCTCCTGATTCCTTCCTGCTCCTCTGAAAATCTCAGATCAGGATCCCAAGTGCCTCCTCTGGGGAAGATAACACAGCATACATACCCTACAAGATTGGTGAGAAGGCTAATGGAAGTGCAGCACATTGAATGAGAAGTCTGATGGAAACTGAAATTAGCATTATCTTTTAGCAGGGGTGCAAAACATTTCTCCATATGCCCATAAAAAGCAGGACTTTACTTCTAAGAACTTACATGAAGTTAATGGAATTGACAGATAGATGCAATTTAACTTGAATAAGGGCATCAATATCTCAGTAAATTCTTTGAAACTGTATCTGGATGAGAAAACAGAAATAGAAATTCTGCAAAACTGGCCTTACATTGGAAAATCTCATCCTTCCCCCAAAGGTTTTGATGCCTGGTCCAAGTCTGCTGTCACCAGAGCTGTTTTTGCCACTTCCTTGGAGACTATATTTGTCCCTTTATTTCTACTGAAGACATGTCTATCTTTAGGGCTGCGCTCGGATTTCTCATGCCAGGATAATGAGAGGTGGCTGTGTCACATAACATTGTGGAATTCAACACTTTCTCAACCTGCTGGCCAGAGCAGGTTTTCACAACACATGCTCACCCTCTCTGAGCATGTGGCTATGCCATCATCATTAGTCAGAACTAGAATGGTTGCTAAATAAATACTCTGTCATAAACAAAATGGGATTTAAGATTAAAAGCTGTGTACAAAGTACCGAGAATTAACACCTAGGGGGATGGGGGCAATCAGTCTGAACGTTTTGTCTGGATCTAGGCTCATCATAAAGCTCATCCTTAACAAGGATATTTTTGTCTTGCTCCCTAGTAATAGAGAGATTAAGATGCTGTAAGTGCAAACAAAACAAGGAACTCGCCCTGAAAAGCTGTCTGTTCTTTCTACCCCTCCTTACATTTTGCAGAGAAGCATCATCTGAGATAGCCTAGTCCATATCCAGAGTAACATGGGATTGTCATTGCTGATTTTTCATCTTTTCTGGATATAAATTGTGTTGCCACTAAATTGCATTTTGTAGAGCTATACAATGAATCAACAAGAGACCACATATGTGGTCTAAAAAAAAAAAAAAATTATAAAAGTAGAAAATACTTTGTTTCAAACTTGTGAAGATTTCCAGTGAAGAACTGTTCAGAAATTTCCATGCTAAAAAGACATTTTCTTCAGCTGCCTTAATGGGAGGCTGTCCATTTGGTAGTCAGAAGTTCATATCTGCTTCTAATCACTTGTTACTCTACTAATGCTGAGTTACTGGACCACAGTCTCTGTGAAAAAAATAGATCTGATTGCAGCAAAAGACAAGGGAGCTTGAAAATGTTCAGGCATGGTTATAATTGAGTAGAAAAGTTATACAACAATTGAGTTTCACTCTCAATTAAAAAGTTCTCATTTATCTTACCATGTTTGTGAAAGTTGAAGCATTTTACGATATTTACAGGATGCAAATTTTCAGGTTTTGGAATGAGCTTTTTGTTTATATCTAGAGGGAAAGGACCACACATCTGAATTCTTCTGAGAACAAAATTTTCCTTTAATTAAAAAACTTTCTTTAATTTCAAATAAGACCATTTAAAAATATTCATCTCCATCCAATGGGTCAAAATCACACATTAGAAACCTAGGAGGCACTTGCAATATAGAATTGAGCTTCTTAGGCTGTTTCCATTCATGATCACAGCAGGAAAACCAAAAGCAGAGCAAAAGAGAGGGAAGAAGAGAGTTACTCCACTGGATCCCTGGGAGGTGTTCCCTGAGACTCACTTACGGCAACAGGGGAAGGACTCATGATGTTACTCTTTATGAACTCCTAATGAAGATGTACACCTTGCACTGAAATCTCTGGAAAACTAAAAACATTTCATAAATTGTCTTCCTACTGGTCACTTAATAAACAGGGAAAAATAGAGGCATTAGGGAAGGACAGTGATTAGTATGGGGCAGGCTATAGAAATAAAAATGCATAAGTGAGCTGATGCAAATGCCATATACAAACAGCTGTTCTTAATGATAATGCCCATTTTCTTCACACACTTGCAAAAAAGCCTGGGCAGCAGTCAGCACCCTCAGAAAGCATTACTGTCCTAAGTAAGAAGAAAGAAGAGTTTGTGGAAAACCAGGAGTGTTGCTGTAACAGCAGTGAGCAATCCTGAGCATTGCACTTCCGAAATCCCAAGTTTCCAAGCCCTCTAGTAGTAAGTAACCTGCCAAGGCTGCTTCCCACAGCACGGCCATCAAGCGTGAACTCTTGAAACTTTGGCAGCAAATGCATCACTCCCAGAACTCCACATGAGCAAGCAGGGACACAACGGATGGCAGCCTGGACAGGAAGGATAAGGGTGTGCTGTCAGGCTGACAGCTAAGCTTAAACAAGCGACCATGGATCCTGGAACACAATTACAAATTTTCTGTCCCCAGCCAGTAAAAACCCCATGTTCCCCAACCAGGGGAACTGCACCAGGGCTGCTCTGCAGGGCTGTACACACTTGCTTGCCCATCCCCAATACCAGCTTCCATCTCTGCTCCAGCACAATAACCCCCACCATGAGGCCTGCTGGCATAATTGCAAATCTCTCTCCTTTTTCTAGGCAAAGTACTGGTTCACTGTGCAATGGGAATCAGTCGGTCTGCAGCTCTTGTCCTGGCTTTCTTAATGATCTGTGAAGGTATGTCCCTCGCCACCGCCATTCAGACTGTGCGCTCCCACAGGGGGGTCTGCCCCAACTCCGGCTTCCTCCAGCAGCTTCGGGACTTGGACCTCCGGTTAGGAAGGGGCACAGGCAGAGGAGCAGAGGCCTGCTAGTGCCAAGAAGAAGCTTTGTCTCCTGGCACCAGCCCAAGAGATGCTGCCCTCACTGAAGAGTGCAAGGATGCTGTCAGGACTGCTCTGTAGCTGCACAGAGAAACTCTGGGGAAAGGCTGAGCATGAGCAAACTGTTAGGGACTGTCAGGCATGTATTTTTTGCATAAGCACACTAATTGGGAAGAAAATGGAATAAACGAGGATTCAAACTGGCAGTTTTGCTCACCTGGGCCTGTTTATTTAACTACCTGTTGGGCAGGGCACAGGGAGCAGTTGGGTTTTCATGTAGAATTAAAAGTCAGCACAGTCAACTTGAAAAAATACTTTTTACTTGCTTATAATTGCATTTATTTGGCAAGAGGGAAAATGACTAAACTAGTAAAATAAAAGGAAAGCATAAGGCTTTTAAGCAAATCTTTAACATTTCACATCCAGCTGGCTTAAGGTGAGACTGCAGGTTTTGCAAGCTGACATGGTCCTTTGGTCTGACGTGGTGACACCAGTCAGGATCCAATTCAGACCACAGGCTCCCTCTGCTACAAGCCACGGAGGCTCTTGCTGGACCTTTGCAAGCCCATTTTGCTTCAAATCTATGGCAAATACTCAGAACTTAAGGACCACGAAATCCTCAGGAGCCAACTCAAGCTCTGAAGCAGACACTGCACCCTGGGGCCCAGCTGTTGACAGCCTCTCTGCTGGTCAGAGAGAGGAAGGTGTCCCCTTGCACGCATGGAGCTAGGAGCACGCCCAGGGCACACTGCCCACTGGCACACTGCAGGGCAGTGCAGTGCCAGACAAATATCCTCCTCTTTGCTTGCAACCCCATGCTTGAAATCACATTCCTCAGATTTCCCTGATTTTAATGGAAAGTCAGAACCTAGTGTCGTCATGTCAGAGCAAAAATGAGCAATGCCTCTAACAAATCCAAAGCAGCAGCTCTGCATTTCAATTACTCTTTTACGCCCAATTGGCCACATTTAATCTTGTGAAGAACTCGAAGCAGATATTTGCTTCAGTGCAATTACAGCCACATACAGAACATTGGCAAATGCAAACAATATAGAATTTCCACTTGGCGGCAGATTAATTTGGTGTGATGTTTTCCCTCGAGAAGTCTTAAAGGCTCTCAGTTCTGAAAGTACCCTGCAGTTTGTATTTATAGCACCACGGATGTTGAATAGAAAGAGGGAAGCATATACTTCTTCTGGACTGAAGTTTCTTTTACCTCCATACATTAAAAATATTAACTGAGCATAGCACACCTTCGCTGCATTTCTCATAAAGTAATATGGAAACATGATTTCCCTGCAGAATCTATAGAGGAATTCAGGTGGTGTTTCCACTTTCATAAACATATTAAGCAAAGCATAGCAATGCTACAGACTAATTTCCTCTCAGGGAACAGAGGCACAGGTCTCCCCTCCAGAAAGGGTCCCATCCTTTGAGACTGGAGTAAGCAGTCAGAAGCGAGGTCATAGCTAATGATGGAAAAAATCAGGTTATAGTTTTCACAGGCTTCTTATTGCCTGCCACAGCAAGGAGATTAGATTTCAGTAAGCATGGTGACTGAACCACTCCTGGCACTTGGGTCTCTTCCACCTTAGTCTGTCTGGGGATTCTTTATTATTGCACACCATGCTGAAGCTGTTTTGTGAGTGATATTTTCAGTTGCCTTACTAGCCACTCCCTTCAAGCCTCTGTAACTCGACCCATGCCAGTCCCCGTGTTAAAGCACAAGGGGTGTATGAAACACAACAGTCCAAAATCTCCATGAATTGAGCCCATCAGGACAGGTCATAATTTCCAGTGCATTGCACATCTGGAAACATATGTGGTTGCAGGGCAGAACTTAAAGTGAACAACTTGTGAGAATGACTGAGCCTAAAGTCACCCCAGCTGAGGCCTGTTGGCCATTGTGTAACTATTTTAGCCAGCCAGGGCAGGCCATAGGTCTCCCTGCAGCTGGGATCAGTACATCTGTCTGGAGCTGCTGCATGTCAGGTAAGCTAGGACACTGGCAGAGCAGGGCTTCTGGCTCTTGTCACCATTACAGGTGTATAGTAGAAGCTTCCTCTTCAACATGGGAAAAAGCCCAACTAAACAATAAAAACAAGAGGTCCAAAAAACTCAAAAAGACCTAAAGAGAATAATCCAATCCCAGGACAAAAAAAATCCTTTTTTAGACATGCCTGAGCTATTCTGAGTGCTTTGCATTGCTGTGAAGTATAGACAGTGAGAGGCAGGTCCCCCATCTCCTTCCAGGTTCTCCACCCTTCAGAAGACAAGGTTCCTGAGCCCACCATTAGCTCCCCTCACTGTGAGGGCTGCAGCACCATGGAGTGGCCTGGCAGGGGCACAGGGGCAGGGTCTGTATTGATGACAGTTGAGTCCTAACCTCTGACCCACATGGCTTGCACACTGAGGTTTATTGCCCCTGTGCTTAGTTAAACAAAAGCCTCTTAAAATTGCAGCTGAAATCAAGGCAGAATGAAAACAATATTGAGGGTGGTTCCAGATACATCTTGTGGTATAATTTCAAGATGCAGAATTGTAAACCACCAGCTCAGTCTGAGAAATGAGGAATAACTTCCCTCCCCGAAAGCCACCCTTGCTAACACAAGGTGCTTAGTCCTGGCTGCAGCTGTCCATTTCAGTGCTGCCAAGTCAGCTGAAAGGAGCCCCACTCAGCCCTGCAGGTTTGGTGCCTCTGTGGCACTTACTCAGTGCCCTGGTTAAACATTTCCTGCCCAAGCCACATCAGTTGAGGCCACAGCCAGGGTGGAAGCAATCAGAACAGCAGAGATGTTCATAGGAGGAGTGGCAGTGACGCTGCTACCATTTCCATGAACACCCTTACCTGGTGCAGAGCAAATGCTCAGGTTTATTTATGAACACCTGTCCATTCTGTCCTTATGAAGGAGAATCCTTGAGCACTGTGGTGGAGCTGGTATGCCTCCCTCACAAAAACTCTGCCAGGAAGGATGGGTGCCATAGCCCCCTTTTGCAGACAAGACGCCTGAAGTTTGCCTGAGCTGCAGCAGGATGTTTGGGGAAAAGTACAAGAGCTCTCCAACCTCCAGAACTGGCACAAAAGCATGAGAGGAGTTTTCTCACATGAGGTATTCTTGCCTTCACTAGCTTTTCCTCTCAGACTTTCTGCAGTGATACAGAGAATATTGCCATGGGCATGTCTGCACTGTGTTATTTATCCTTTAGATTCGTGCTTAGGGTTTTATTTGTAAAAGGAAAATGAGACCGTAAATCTGCTGTACAAGGAGCCAAGGGAAGAGAAGACAGAAATTTTCAACAAGTTTCATGCAAAGAGATGCTGCCAAGGACAGGTTTCCCACTGAAAGAAATGCCAGCCAAGATATTGTCCAGGTACTCACCATGTGTATTGGCAACAGCTAAGAGTGTCAGCCTTTTTCTCGCAGGTGCATTGATTCATTCCTCCTTGCACAGGTAGCTTTGAAGTTGCTGTAGCAAGGATTGCTCTCCTGTGGGAACATCTTCATCCATAGCTTTTGCTTCCAGCACACACAGGACCACTCTTCGGGTACAGCACCCTAAATAATCCCCCACAGCTGTAAACAAGGGTGGAGGGAAGCAGTGTCGGGCAGACCCCAGTTCTGCATTACGCTGCTGTTCCAAGTTAGTCCATGGCTCCGATTCCGCTTTAACCTTGGCACTGTCCAGCAAGCCCAGGCGACATTCTCCTGCATTGCCCTGATGCCTAGACCAGATCTACCCAGCTTCTGCTAGCCCCACCAGAATTGCAAAGCACTGTCAAGTCCACTTGTCAGACTTGATCCTTCTCCCATTGTCTTTTTCCTGTATTTTTCTGATAACAAGGCTATGTGTTACTGTGGAAAGGGGCTTCAAAAGAGCTAGTGCTTTGCAAATGTACTTCGTAGTCTAAGGTTCAAACAGTATGTGCAGCTCTTGAAGCCAAGTCAAACAGGAATCTAGGACCTATGGGACTTTCAACATTTAAGTTTTCTTTAGGCTACAATTATTTTGCTTAGAAACTAGACCCTTGATCTGTTGCAGAAGGCTGCAGTTTAATAAAGTCAAACAGTTTGCTCTTTGCAATGTACTATTTGCAGTACAAGTATCATTGAGTTACACTGCTCCCCCTCACCACTGCCTCCTGGAACCTCGACTGTTTATATACAGAAAGCACTCTCAGGAAGCACTCCTAAAAATACCCAGCAATGTTAGCTGAGGATTTGGCTTTGTCTCTCCTCCGCCTGCTTCTGCCTCCATAACATCCTCCCGTCATCTTGATGCTCAACAACCCCAGCTGTTCAAGCAAACTTTTCCCTGCCTCATTCTCTAAAAAAATTGTCCTTTTTCTTCTTCCTCTGCCAGTAGCTATTCTCCACCCTGCCACAGAGCAGCTTCTGTGATGTTGCCATATCATGTCTTATCTAGAGTTTTCTTGTTTGATTACTAAATTAAAGTGAAGTCCATGACAACTTTCCCAAACCTTTGAGCTCTGCCCACATTTCAGACAAGTAAGGTGGTGGCAACTGAGGGTGATAATAGTACCCAAAAAAGAATAACATCTTCTACTTTACTTTCTAAAGGGGTACCTGAATACTGCAAAACAAGATGCAGTATTCTCCACAGATTAACTTTTGAAACTGCTCTCAGGGAAGTTACTCTGAAGACAAAGGCATCTCCCAATGGAAATACCATTGCAAATAAAAATATTTTCACAATAGTACAAATAGAAAATCTGCACAAACAAGTCCAGCCAGCTGATAAAAACATC